CAGGGGGAACACCGTGGTGTAGCGAGAGTAGTCGTCAACGACCACCAGAAAGAAACGCTCGCACTCAGAGCCAATGCGAGAGGCGGGGCCCTAGACGTCCAAGTGGAGAGTCTCAAAGGGCTCGGTGGCTGGACGAAGGGAGGAGGAGTGAGGGGTGGCGCGCAGCCGACCCTCGACGCAGGTACCACAGGGTGGTGGAAGCGAAGGCGGCAGCGACGGCAAGACACGCGGGAGGCCTAAGACAAGACGCTGACGAGACATAGCGCGCAGGCGAGGAATGGACGGGTGCCCCATCCGGTGGTGCCACAGAACGGTGGGGTGGGCAAGCGACCGGCAGGAGCAAGGAGCAGCAACTGGAACAGACATGGGAATCTGACCAGACACAGCTACCTGGTGAGACGCGGCAACCTGGTGGGACACGGGGACCTGGCGGGGGGCAGTGACAGGGGTCGGGGGCAGTAGCTGCTGCTTCTTCTACCGAGGACCAGTGTGAAGTGTGTAGAGAACGGAGCCCGGCTCAGCAGTAAAGGTGGCCAGAGGCTCGTACGTGTCACCATCTACACAAACTGCAGTCTCCCCACAAGGCTCGATTCAAACACCCACCCGACTACTCACGAGGGGCCTCACACCCACCAAGTTCCTGGAGAACGAGGGGACGTGGAAGCCCGTCAGGAAACCCGAGGTAACAGCGGGGCACGGAAGCGGAGTAGTGAAGTGAGCAGTGACTGGTCCCGAAGTGGGATCAGCCAGTGCTACAGAGACCGGCGCAGGAAGCGGAGTAAGCGTCGTGTGGTCATGGAAGAAACAGTGCGAAGCTCCGGAGTCCAGAGTGAAAGACAGCGAAGTGTCCTTTGGAGCAGCCCCTGGACTAGTGTCTACATTAGTACCTACACTAGCAACAGGGACCTCAGCAACAGTAGTACCTAAGCTAACAACACTCGAGTTTACAGAGTCAGAAACACTAGAGTCAACAACAGCATACATAGCATGAGGAGTTCCTAAGAGATCAACCAACTGAGAAGCCGACATGCCCCACAGAGCGCGACCGTGCTGGTGAACAAGGGGAAGTCAGTCAGGGGCAGGGCTGCCAACATCGTAGGCCGCACGAACAGTGTCAGTGAGCTGAGCAAAGCACTGACCCGGTGGGTGGCTGCGGCCACAGGCGAGGCCTCGGCGAGCACCTGTCTGAATGAGGTAGGTGCAGGGAGGGTAGACAGCACAGCGCGACAGGTGACGCGGTCCGGACCCCTGCTCCGGAACCTGCTGTTATCTCTGCTGCTGCTGCGGCTGCTACGAGAGGAGTGGCTGCTGCTGCTGCTGCTGTCGCTGAGTCAGGTACCAAGCCATCACTCCAGCACCTGTAGCTGGCAGACCTGCAGGTGCCTGACGAACCGGAGCGTCACCTCCACCAGCCGTAGTAGGGGAGTCACTGGCCGCTACACGAGGCGATCCTCCACCTCCGGCACTCCCGCCACCGCCGCTCGCCACGCCACCTCCGCCGCCTCCGCCGCCTCCATCCGCACCCTGGCCGCCCCTCCTGCCACTCCTACCCCTAGGTCGCGCAGAAGCCGTAATAGCAACTGCGGTCACGTCAGTAGCGGCAGTGGCGAGGGAGGCAGTAAAGGTGGGCAGCTGAGGGACAGTGCACCCGTGAAACAGTGGAGGGGGCATAGCACTAGAGGCGGAGGCTAACGAGCGGAGGTTGCTCTCAACGTCCTTGAGCGCAGACTCAAGGACCTCGATAGTGAGCTCGCTAGGGTGCTTCAGAAGAAGCGCGTCACAAACTGAGGCAAGGCGGTCAGGGAGGCTAGTGGCGATAAAATAGATAGTAATCGCCATGGGGGGAGGGAGCAGTGCAAGCTGTGCGTCAGTGCAGGCAGCGCGGTAGCTAGAGTCAAACGAGCGCATGTGAGCGATCAAGTCAGCAGAGCGCTCAAACGAGGCGATGTCGGGAAACAGGAATGGTAGGAACAGTCGACCAAGAGAGACAGTGGTGGGAGTAGCGTAGCGGGCCTTGATCGCAGTCAGGAACTCAAGAGCAGTGCGAACTTGAGTGAAGTGGGTCTCCTCAGACTCAGGGAGGAGGCTGCTGAGGGCGATGCAGGCTGCAGCGTCACGCGACTTCCACGCCGTCAGGTCAGCACGCTGGCGTGCATAACGGTCTCTGGCTGCGTCGTCTGGGTCAGTGCCTAAAGGCGTAGGGTCGTCGGGCGCAGGAAGGTCACTGGAAGCATGCGCCCACAGAGACTCGCCTGCCTGGACCAGACTCTCGAGGAGGCGTTGCGCGCGCAGGAGCCAGACAGAAAACTCGAGCGGCCTACCGTCGGCGTCAAAGTGCAGAACCCTAGGGGTCGCCATAGCTGTAGCGAACAGGTGGGAACTGTCGCTGCTGAAACCCTAAATGCCTAGAGGAGGGCGCACGGGCAGATTGAGAGCCTCAGGGTGCAAGGTAGGGCGCAACGCGACTGGCAGGGGACGGACATGGCGCGACGGGACGGCAGCGATGGGCGCGACGCGACGAGCAGGGGACAGAAACGCAACGGGCAGGGGACAAGATGGGCCGCGCGACGCGACGGGCAGGGGATGCGACGGGCTAGGGGACGAGACGGGCTAGGGGACGCGACAGGCTAGGGGACGCGACGGGCAGGGGACGCGACGGGGTAGGGGACGCGACGGGCAGGGGACGTGACGGGACAAGGACGAGACGGGCAGGGGACGCGACGGGCAGGGAACACGACGGGCAGGGGACGCGATGGGCAGGGGACGCGACGTGACGGGCAGGGGAAGGGACGGACAGGGGACGCTACGCGACGGGCAGGGGATGGGACGTCGGGCAGGGGACGCGACGCGACGGGCAGGGGATGGGACGACGGGCAGGGAGGCGCGTCGGGCTGGGTGCGGGACTGGCAGGGGACAGGCGCTACGGGCGCAACTGGCGCTACGGGAGCTACGGGCGTGTCGTGACCAGGGCTGACGCTATCAGACTAAATAGTCTGATTAGTCTGACGAATCAGACCATCCAGTTTGTGGAAACTGTACTTCCAGAGTAGTCAAAATTTCATCACTGAGAGCCTCAGAGATGTGTGTTATGGCCCCTGATTTAGTGTAATAGGCCTCAGACTTAGTCGTTTCTGGAGTCTGTCTCTACAGAGTATACACTCTGTGGTCCCTGAATGCGAGTGTATTAAGAAGAAGCTTCCAGGAAACTTCCCTCCGATACACCCAAGTGGTGGAATACGAGACCAGCAGCACAGAAGCCGAGCTCAATGCATTGGTCTGGACACAAGAATACGCTTTTTGTACATTATAATTTTGCATTTTGAATGTGTGTCCGCTGTAGCGCGAAACAATGTCGGAATGTGCGTTTTTTACGGATCGCCCATTTTGTCTTCGAATCGCACAGCGAGTCGGTGCAAAAAACAAAGATCACCACATGTTTCGTATCGCACTTCATGTTTCTCAGAGTTGCGAGTCTCTTCCCCGCGCCAAAACGGGTGAAATATAACATCTATTTTAAACACAAAGAAATAAGACAAGATTGTTGCACACAAAGTGTACAAACTTCTGCTGCCGAAATCTCGCTCGTAACATATCCTGCCTGCTGCCAGCTCAGCTCCCTTTTAGCCCACCAAACCCAACCTGCAAAATTCCGCCTACTCTCGCAGCCGTTGTCTGATGCCAAAAAACTCCTCCGAAACAGAATCTGACAAGGCACGTGCACACAATTCGCTGAGTCACATCAACACGTAGGTGGGCAGCGATAACGTGTGGTGGGGCCGTTGTCTGATGCAGATCTGCCGATCCTGAACGATCAGGCAACGCGAAATCTGGTGACTGAGCAATCAGACTGCCAATTTTCTTGCCGAACTGCCTTCAGACTAAAACGGAAAAAAAAAAAAAAAAAAAAATCCAGGTCAGGGAGCCTCAAATTTGAAACGTCAGCACTGGTCGTGACGGAACGGGCAAGCGCTAATGGCGCTACATGACGAAACGGACAGCCACAACGGGCGCTACGGGACGAAACGGGCGCGAGGGGCTCTAGGCGGATCCCAGAGGATCCTAACCTAGCTGATACCATGTCAGAAACGAGAATGGATGCATTGACAGTGTTGGTTGAGGTACATAAATCTAACCCTAACAACTGTACCCCATATGAAAAGCCTCACAATTGGCTACAACATTTGACAGGTGGGGGGCGGGGAGGGGGTTCCCTATACGCTCTTCGGGGTAATCTTCGCTAAGAGATATATTACCCCAGAGCATCACTGTGGCCTAAATCGTTACACTGACATATCAGTGTAACACTAATCTGCCAAAAAAATAATTAAATGTCAGAGGTCCACTGGGGATCCCCGATGATCCTAGGGAAGGGTTACAGGCACGTCGGCCTGGGGGGTTATGGGCGCACTCACCCGCTATATAAACAAGCCCTTTTATCCCAGTGGTTAGTGACTGGGATTCTGACATTAAACACATCAGTGCAGGCCCTAAATTTCACCCTTATAATCAGTATAGCAGTGTAAATTACACTGATTTAATAGGCCCTGCCACCCACCCACTCCCACTCCCATATCCCCCCCCCCCCCACACACACCCACACCCACACACCCACACATACACACACGCCCATACCCACTCACACCCACACCACACGCCCGCACACACATCCCCCACCCCACACCCCCCCCCCCACCCACACACACACATGCCCCCCCCCCAACACACACACACACACACACACACACACACACACACAGCCACAGCCACAGCCACACCCACAGGACCATGTGAATTGAATCGATTACTGAGCCTATCACAACCTCGCTGAAACTCCACTCCCATTTGAACCATCCGCAATGCGCAGAGTGCGCCCCGGCACCCACAGGCGGGCAACAGGGAAGTCCGTCCGAGCTCAAACCCCCCCCGCTTCCACCCTCCGCCTCCACTGAACCCATGTAGACTCGGAAAAAAAAAAAAAAAAAAAAAAAAAATCCAGTTCTCTACAAGCGGGCTGAGGCTCCACTTTTACCCGAGCTGCCACTGCTCCCACCCCCCATCATCCTCTTCTGCCAATGTCGCAGCTCCTTCTTCCCAATGGAAGCCAGGTGCACCTCATCTGGACCGTCAGCGATGCGCAGAGTGCGGGCTGCCGTCCACAGGCGGGCAAGAGGGAAGTCCGAGCTCACTCCTCCACCCCCGTGCACCTGGATCGCCCTGTCCAAAACTTTTTGAGCTGCCCGGGGGGCAGCCACCTGAAAGAATGTGAGATGGAAGGACGAAGCGGAGATCCAGGGAGTGATGCGGGGAAGCGGAAATCAAGGGGCTAATGAGAGGAGGTAGATACGAGTTTTGAGACGCTTAAGCACAAGAGGTAGGTGTTAGAAATAGGCTGTCAACACTTTGTGTACTCTATTTTATATCCTGTAGGTTATTTGTAGGTTGGGTGTAAATTTGTAATCCCAACCCTATCTGGTTGGGATTCCCTCGTAATCCAACAAATCTGCCAACTCATCATTGGAGATTTGTTTGTATTCCCATCCCATCCTTTCCCTAGCTTTGCTCAACCCAGCCTTCGAGTATACATTTGTCATTTGGGTTTCGGGTTTAGGGAGTGTGCCTCACGGTTTTCCCACAAAGTTTCAAGTTCCTAAGGATTTTGAACCCCTCCTTTCAAATGTATATTGGAGCTTTAAGGCCTAGTGCCTTCTTTCTTAATCAAACAATTCAAGCTCAGTTCTGACAGAAGGGCAGGAGATTTGATAGTAAGAGGACAGCAAGAACTCAGCCAGTCATGCTCCGATGAGAATTCTTTAAAGTGACACATTGCTGCTCGTGCCAACTCTGCAGTAGCAGCAGCAGCAGCAGCAGCAGCACCTCCTTACTGCCTTGTCTCTGACATGAGTGCCTCTCACTCACCTTAGCCATGGTAATGGCAATCCGTGCTTCCTTGTTCCCGTGTGCATCCAATCCAACTCAGCAGCCGCCTGAAGCAGCAGCGGCATCAACACCTACAGCAACAGCGGCACAGCATTTTGCTCGATTCTCTGTGACCCTTCTGCCGCTCACGTACCTTAACCATAGCAATTGCAATCCGTGCTTCCTCTTTCCCCTTGGCATCTAACTCAGCAGCTGCATGCAGCACCAGCAGCCGTGCGGCCTCAGCGTGATGCAACAGCAGCAATGCCTTTCCCTTGTGACCCGTGTCCCTCTCTCTTTTGAGGCTCCTAAAAAAAAACGTCCCTCTCACCTTAGCCATGGCAATAGCAATCCGCGCCTCCTTGTTCCCCTTGGCATCCAACTCAGCAGCCGCCTGCAGCACCAGCAGCCGCGCGGCCTCAAGGGTGATGCGGCATTCGGCAGTATCCCGCACCACCGACTCGTTGCCGCCCAGCGGCCGCCCAAACGCCACCCGGGAGAGAGCCCGCTGGAGCATGCAGTCCATGGCTCGCTCTGTGGCTCCAATCAGCCTCATGCAGTGGTGCAGCCGCCCCGGACCCAACCGACCCTGGTGGCACATGAAGGAGAAGGGGGGGGTCGACAAAGGTATTGACTGGCTAGGAGAGAGAGCATGCTGGAGCATGCAGTCCATGGACCGCTCTGTGGCTCCTATCAGTCGCATGCAGTGGTGCAGCCGCCCTGGGCCCAACCGGCCCTGGCATGAAGGGAGATGAGGGGTTCGAGAGATGATTTGACTCGCTAGGAGGGAGAGAGCACATTGGAGCATGCAATCCACGTGCATCCGGGCCTATGAGTCTGGCTTTCTGGTTGGTAGACCTTTGCTTAATACTTCCCTCTTTTTTCAGAATAGTAGACTAGTGCTATAGATCGTTACTCTTTGTAGGCTTTCTGCGATCCGAAACTAGCACATTTCAACTGAGCATGCAGTCTATCGCTCGTTCCGTGACTCCTGTCAGCTACACGCACTGGAGCAATCACCACGGACCCAATCGACCCTGGTAAGGAGGGGGAACGGGCGTGCGGAGGCGGGGAGATAAGTGAGGGGGTTGGAGGCGGGGAGATAAGTGATGGGGTTGGAGAGGGACCAGCTGAGCATGCAATCCATGGTAACGACCCGGAAAAACAAAGCCTTTTATGTACCTAGCGACTCTTCTTCTCACCTGGGCAATCTGAAAGCCTCGTCCTTTGCCTAGTAGCACGTCAGTAGACCTGCTGCAGCTTAAACACCTACCGGCTCCACTTCATCTCACCTGGGCGATCTCAAAACCTCTGCCTTCACCCAGCAGCACGTTGGCCTTGGGCACTCTAACCCCCTCAAACACCAGCAGCTCACCTGGGCTATCTCGAAGCCTCGTCCCTCTCCTAGTAAAACATTCTTCTTGGGCACTCGAACCCCCTCAAACAGCACCTCGGAGTGCCCATGCGGGGCATCATCATACCCAAACACCAGCAGCGGCCGCACCACCGTCACCCCAGGGGCATTCATGGGCACGAGCAGCATGGACTGCTGCCTGTGTGCGGCCGCGGAGTGGGGCCCGGAGGGAGCGGCCCGCTCGGGGTGTTTGCCCATGTAGATGGCGAGCTGGCAGCGCGGGTCGCTGGCCCCACTGGCCCACCACTTGTGACCGTGTAAGATGTAATGCTCCCCCGCACTGCATGGGAAATGTGCGATGGGTAGTAGAAGGACGGGGTGGTAAAGTGAGGGGAAGAGCGGTGAGTTTTGAGTTAAGTCGACCTGCAAGCCACCCTGTGCAGGATGTGGCGGTCAGCTGTGCTGCTAGGGAAGAATAAGGGGAGCTGAAAACAGCAGCTCGTTCGAGGTGCTTGCCATGAAAATTGCGACTTTGCAGCGCGGGTCGCTGGCTCCACTGGCCCACCACTTGTGGCCGTGTAAGATGTATTCCTTCTCCCGCACTGCATTTGGGTGGGGGCATTGGAGTAGGTAAGCGAGGTGATTTTTTGAGGCGCCTCAAAAACGACCTCCCGCACTGCATTTGGGTGGGGGCATTGGAGTAGGTAAGCGAGGTGAGTCGACTAAAAAAACACCTCCACACAGGTGCTGAGAGGGGGTCGGACTGTTGCCTGTGTGGAGGAGCGGAGTGGGGACAAGACAGAGAGGAGTAGGGAGCGGAGGGAGCAGCTCGCTCGGGGTGCTTGCCATGAAGATTGCGAGCTGGCAGCGTGGGTCGCTGGCACCACTGGCCCACCTATTGTGGCCGTGTAAGATGTAATGCTCCCCGGCGCTGCATGGGGAAGAAGGGGGGGTGATGAAGTGGGATGACAACAATAAGGGAAGAGTGAGGCAGATAGAGTGGCAGGAAGGGTTGATTGATGGTTCACTGGCGCCACTGGCCCACCACTTGTGACCGTGCAGGGTGTAGCGCTCTCCCACCTAGCCTATTCTCCCCTCGATGTTGGTGGCATCACTGGACGTCACTCGTGGCTCTGTCATGGCGAAACACGAGCGGATCCTGCCATCCAGCAAAACATCCAAGGCGCGCCACAGCATATCTGAGGTTGGAACTCCCTGCGCTGCCTGCCTAGCACCCCGCCTCTCTATCCGCGCCTCAATGTTGGTGGCATCACTGGACGCCACTCTCGGCTCCGTCATGAGCGGATCTTCCCCTCCAGCAGAGCAGACTTGCTTCTATGCTTCCAGCAAGGACTAAGTCCCCCCACTCACTGTGCTCCCTGCCTGTGCGCACCTCTCTATCCGCGCCTCAATGTTGGTGGCATCACTGGAAGCGACTCTCGGCTCTGTCATGGCGAAGCATGAGCGGATCCTGCCCTCCAGCAGCGGCACCAGCCACTCCCGCTGCTGCTGCTCATTGCCGTAGCGCAAGAGAACCTGGTTGGCGGAAGGGAGCAAGGGAGAGAGGCGACAGTGGTAACAGTGTGTGCACAACGCACAAGCGGATGCTACTCTGCCTTCCAGCAGAGGCACCAACCACTCCCGCTGCTGCTGCTCGTTATCGTAACGCAAGAGAACCTCATTGGTGGGAGGTAGGTGAGCGTGAGAGGGCCTTCACTCAGAATGGCATTCGGTTCACACAAACAACAGTCAGCTCATGCACACACACACACACACACACACACAAAAATCCGTCATAGAGAAACACGCGGGAGTCTGAAGGTTGTGGACAGCAAGCAGAACAAAGGTCCACCTCAATTCCCCCTTGACATTGACACCTTCCACCATACTGAGCCTCGTCTCAGAGCACTGAACCGCACTCCACCAAACTAAACCCAATCAACCCACCTCCATGTTGCCTGTGTCGGGGGCAGAGCAGTTGAAGAGCTCAGGCGCCCACACGCTCTTGCCCATCTCCTTGCACACGTGCGCATAGTCCAGATTCGACAGCCCCGCCCCCAGCAGCAGAACCCTGCCCCACTGCACTGAACTGCATTCCACAGCACTAAACCGCATCCCACCACACAGTACCGCATTTTACCGCACTAAAACCCCCCCTCACACCTCCATGTTGCCTGTGTCGGGAGCAGAGCAGTTGAAGAGCTCAGGCGCCCACACACTCTTGCCCATCTCCTTGCACACGTGTGCATAGTCCAGATTCGACAGACCTGCCCCCAGCAGACCGCGGCTCTGGCACTCGCGAAGCACAGGCGTCACTGGCACTCCTGCATCCTGAAAGAGGGGAGGGCGGAGGAGTGAGGTAGGGCGGAGGGCGGAGGGCGGAGGGGAGCGAAAGAAGGAAAGAATCGTGTCAGTTGTGCAGTTAGAGAGGGCTTGAAGGGGGGTACGGGATGGTGGGAAACGGGCGTTGATGTTCGACCTTGAACACATAGGCGTAGCCTGGGACTCTATGTTCAACGAATCTGCTCCCAGCAGGCACAGGCCACTGGTCATGCAGAAGAACAGCAGTGTGCGAGCAGGAATAGTGCTGCCTCTAATATCTCTTCTTCATCCCCTCCATAAACATCACCTCTTATGTCTTGTAACAAGCGATCAACTCACCAAAGCAGGAATTTACAGGTTCCAAAGCCTGCTAGGCCTTCCCCTTAAGTTGCTTGCTCCACCAGGGAATGATTTGTCCACAGCGCCTCTCACCGTGTGGGTCTATAACATCATCCCCCGTATCAGCACCACCTCCTGTGTGTAACAGTGAGCCCTCAAACTCACCAGAGCAGGAATCCACAGGTTCCACAGCCCAGCCTGCTTGGCCTTCCCCTTCAGTTGCTCCACCAGGGGGTGAATCGTCCACCGTGCATCCCCCACTGCATGTTCCTCCAATATCCCCTCTATAGGCAGCACCTCTTGCGTTACAAACTCCGCCACTCGCCTCCTCAGTGCCTCGGCTCGCGGGCTGGGAGCCAGCCCCACTGGATGGGACAGCGATGCTGGAACCGCACTGGATCCATCCCAACCCCCTGCTGCTGCTGATGCATGTGTTCCCGTGTGTTGAGGTGGTGGTGGTGGTGGTGGTAGGAAGGGGATGGAGAGGGGCGAGTGCACCACGTGGAGGGCGCATGCTATCAGGCCGGCCACCTGACGGCCTGCCTGCCCTGCCCTGCTAGACGACGCATTGCCCTGAAGGGGGGAGAGGATGGTGAGGGGAAGGGGTACGAACAGGGATGGAGAGGGGCGAGTGCACCACGTGGAGGGCGCATGCTATCAGGCCGGCCACCTGACGACCCGCCTGCCCTGCCCTGCTAGACGACGTGTTGCCCTGAATGGGGAGAGGAGGGGAGAGTAGTGTGTGGAAGAGGAAGGGAAAGGAGGGAAGAGCCAGAGAATAACGAGCCACTGAGGGGACGGACGAGCAGGGGATCGTTTTTGAGGCGCCTCAAAAACGACCTCGATGGAATGGTGATTCGTGTGCATGTAATGGGGCCAACGCGGTGAACAACACACGAGGGGGACGATGGATGTGCGTGTGGGCGCAGCGCAGCATCTTCAATTACTCTACCTGCAGCGCGCGTTGGTAGATGCCGGTGAAGATAGCAGCACCGCGGAAAAGCGAGAGGGCCACGTAGAAGCGCCAGGTGTCACCGGGCCATAGGCTGACGCCCTGCACGCAACAAACATACATTGCGAGCGACAAGGAGATGACAAGGAGATGACAAGGAGATGACAAGGAGATGACAAGGAGATGACAAGGAGATGACAAGGAGATGACAAGGAGATGACAAGGAGATGACAAGGAGATGACAAGGAGATGAGAAAAGATGCTGGGCAACAGGGTTTGCAAGCATGTTGCACGTTCATTTCATCCATCCACTCCTAAACCTGCAGTAGGCATGGTGACGAACTGTGCCTGTAAGGGAATGCCATTTGAGTCGCCTCTGCTGCCACGAGATACTCAGAGTCACCTCTGCTGCTACTTTCAACCCTCTCACCAGCATCAACGGCCAGCTCACCTGCAGGCGCTGTATCTCATCACAGTAAGCACTCGTGCACGAACTGGGCCTCGGCTGAGAGGGAATGTCCTTTTGAGTCAACTCTCAAGCTCATACCTGCAGGCGCTGTATCTCGTGGCAGTAGGCGCGCACGAACTGCGCCTCTGAGGGAATGCCAGCAGGCAGCGATCCTGCTGGAGGTCCACTGGGCAGCTGGGTGATGCCGAGAGATGGCAGCATGGCTCCTGGCTGGGATGGCGGCAGGTGGTATGGCTGGGGTGGTGGGGCGTTGGGGAGAAGGGAGAAGGGAAGAAGGAGAAGCTGAGTGTGAAGGGAGGTGACCCTGGCAGCTGGGTGATGCCAAGGAATGGCAGCATGGCTCCTGGCTGGGATGGCGGCAGGTGGTATGGCTGGGGTGGTGGGGATGGGCGGTGTTGGGTTGAAGGCAGAAGGGAGAAGGAAGAAGTTACGTGAAAGGAGGAGCAGCGGGCAGAGGGAGGGAAGCATGCATGCATGGCCATGGCTGAGATGGCAGCGGGTGGTTGGTAGGTAGGTACGGCTGGAAAGTTCGCGACGTCAGACATCTGGTTTCCCAGAGTGGAGAGCTCCCAGACCAGTACACGCGGCTACCAGGCAGGAAAAGTTAAGTTTTTTCGACTCAAAAATTCACCGGAGCACCTACCAAACAGCAGTACGCAACGTCAGACATCTGGTTCCCCAGGGTGGAGAGCTCCCAGTCCAGCACAGCCACCACTCGCGGCTGCCAGGCAGAAGCCGGGAAAACCACAGGGAATGCAAAATTTAGGCTCAAGGTGGCAAGACCAAACAATAAAAAGAAAGGGGAAAGGCAACATACCAGTAAGCAAGCTTGCAAGCCACACACGGTTCTCCACAAGCGGTAAGAACAACAAAACACTTCATTCTTTCTTTTTGCAAGACTGTAGAGCGCACACCTCCGTGGGGTGAAACACGAGGTTATCGAGCCGAAAGTCCCCATGCACGACCCCTCGCATTACCCCCTCCCCTGCTGCATCCTCTGTGGGCACATTCGCCCTCAGCCACGCAATAAGCCCCCTCATCTTCACATCCTCCTCCCTGAATTCTTCTCCAATGGATTTCACTGACGCCTCGTATTGCTTAGCCCACCGCTCCACCTGCCGCCGGCAGTAGCTGTCCGGGCGGCCGAACCCATCTTTTTGCAGCTGGGGAAGGCGGGCAGAGTGCAGGGCGGCAAGGGTGCCGGCCATAGCGGTGTAGATCTGAGTCCGGGCGGCAGGTGGTAGATCCTGTGCCCGAGCGGCAATCGGGTGGATGGAAAAGAAAGAAAAATCGAAAGAATGGAATTCAGATGCAGCAAGGGAGGAGCGCCAAAGCGATCTAGCAGCAGCTGAACTCAGTCAGCCATAACAAAAGGCCATAAACCATGACTGCAGTATAAAAAAGCATAAAACGAACAGATATTTTCCTTTAACAACTCAAAGTACATACATGAGATTCCTAACAAGAAGGGACACGAACTAGAGGAAATCTAGCTCACAGAAAATTCCATTCCTTTATAAAAACCAGCCACAGCGACAGCGATCTAACGGCGAGGGGCTCACAGGGAGGCAAGGGTCGGTGAAGATGCGGCCAGGGACGAAGTCCATGATGTAAAAGGGTGTGCCTATAACGGAGGGGTCGGTGCAGAGGGCGTGCACTGCCGGTACGGGCACCGCTGCTCCTGCAGCAGGTGAGCCCAGCGCTGCCAGCACCTGAGAGAGTGCCAGGAAGCAAAATTGAAATGGAAGAAAGAAACATAGAATGCATGGGTTGAATTGAGTATACTGTAACTTCTACAACCACCTCCCCCGCAAATCAAGCTTCAAGGACTGATGAGACATCTACCTGGGCTCTTGGCTCCATGGCTTGGTTGGGCAACCTCACCTCAGGAGGTGGCTTGGTCCAGGTGGTTACTTTGGGGGACGAAGGCCGATGGAATGAAGCATAGCATGCGAAGAACCTAAGCAGCAGGGTACCTGGAATTCTCGCTCCACGGCATGAGCGGACTTGAGCAGGTGACCAGGCGGTTTCTTCCTTAGCACGAATCTGGCGGGCTGGGAGCCTTGAGCGGACGGCACTTCCAGCAGGTACGTGGGGTTCGACTGCCCGTGGCCAAACTGCCGTGCGGAGAGAGAGAAAGAGAGAGGTCGGGGAGGAGAATTCACACAGGCAGGTTGAAGGAGATTCTATTGAACTATTACTTTCATTACTTTCGATAAGGACTCCAATGTGATTTCCGTGCGAAAAAGGGGATGGAGATGAGATTGATGCACACAAGAGCTCTTGTGGGAAAGATGTACCACTGTTAGAGAACGGGGTTAAGCAGAGTGGTAACGGCTGTGATTCTCCAACAGGACGAAGAACGCAGGAAAAAACGATTGTGGATAGTCGCATGAGACGCAAAAATGCCTTTGCCTCCAAGAGCAGAGAAAAATACTCGGAAATTCAAGCTCCTGTGAGGGACGGCGTCTGCGAATTCGACAAAATGACGAAATTTTGGAAAATGGATGCCTCGCCTGCGAAATCTTCAGCACTTCGGCATTCGCCGGCACGTTCTTGACGTGCTGCTTGAGGTAGGTGAGCACGGCCGCCTCGTCCAGACGATGCTGGGGAGCCACGGGCACGACAAGCTCGAGGGTGCGCTTCGTCATGTCTTGCCGCGATGAACGTTACTGACTGGGAAAGACGACGGCGCTGCAGAGATGAGAGGAAGATATACCGTCACGTTCGCACTCTTGATCTAAATGTCGTGAGTTACGTGCTACAGCTTATGAAGGTAAGTTCTCTAGAACCATGGCTGCGCAGGAGTACATGGAATAGAATCATATGGAGAAGTGACAATGGTACGAGAACCTCGGGATTTGTGTGGTTTCAACGGGCTAAGTTGCGGTTTGGTTCGGTCGCTGCGAGAATGATGGCGAAAACAAGACAGATGTGCGCGGTCGGATAGCAGGTTCGATGGTTTTGCCTTTCTGCTGGCCGTCGATTACACTTGCGAAGATTGCATTACCTCATCCTCCAGCCGAAGCGAGATTCACGAAACAAGTGTTGGTGTGTTACGAGTCATTAACATGTTTCGCTCTGCTCGCGGGATGACCCCGGCACCAGCCAGTCATTAGGCTGGCAGTGATTCCTCCTCACTCCACTTCCAACGAAACGCCATCCTGATTTTCCCATTCTTCCAACAAATACGCCGTTTCTGATTTTCACATTCGTTTTCCCTAGAATACGCAATGTTGCTTTTCCTGTTCTTCGTCAATACGCTGTTCCCGCTAAGTGAAGCAGAAGCTCTTGCTGAGATACCTTGACATCGACTTGTGTTCCGCCTTCCGGACTTTCTCGCATTCTTGTTTACTGTGTTCAGAGTGGAAAGCAACACGCCGCGCATCGGTTTTCGTAATGAATGCCGCAACTAGTCTTTCAGAGCCCATGGACCGGTGTTCAGCCATAAAAAATGAGGAAACCAAGGACAAGAAGTCAAAGAGGAAAAGAAGAAGAATGTGGGTTAAGGATAGCGGAGTAAGTTCCTGCCGAAGCCGAGAGCCCCATGCTGCAGCCACACGCATCAGCAAGCGAATAAAGTTCGCGCCATCGCGTTTTGGTACATATTACGATGGCATTCGTACTCTTGTCGGGTCAGACTTTCAAGCAGACGTGGAAGAGGAGCCTGAGAAGCAAATAGATGTGGATGATTTATCACAGAACCCGTTTGAGGGTACTGCACTCATTGAGCATGAGTTCACAGTCTGCACCAAGAACAATGTCAATGACAAGATACCTTTGACTCCAGAAGAGTAGAGCTGGTTCATGGATAGAAATATTGCCATGCGGAAACAGAATGTTGGTTCAGCAGCAGCGTAGATTATTTCTTCATAGTTTCCTCACCTTGTCAATGCTTCCTCCCACCTTCCGGCTTTGTATGTTTGGAGTCACTACATCCATCATCATTCACCATACTTGTTCACATGATGGAGTACCTGCTTTCAGCCAGGCTTACACGAAGGAATGCGTTCAAGGAACCTACAAAATCTGGGCACATACAGTACCAAGAAGCAATAATTTATGTATTTCCTCTGAAATTATCACTTAATTACAAGAATGCTGGAAACTAAGAACTACAGATTGAACAAGAAATAATCTGGACAAACTGATGGAAAACGCTAACATGTACCTATGTTTATATCGTCTTGATCCATAGGTTTGTTTCATCTGGTTCTGGATAAACCATATCGTTTTGTTACATTATCCAAAGCGAATCGCAGCCAGCTTTCGCCAGACCTCAACATTCCCACATGGTTGGACCAGTACTGCGCCCCGCGCTGGAGGTAGAGGCACCCACCCCGGCGACAGGTTCTCTGACACAAGTCGCCTCGTGCGACATCAGTCGTGCGATCGCCGGCTGGGCCGGAAAGCGACACACGCCTATGGCTATCTAGAATAGGTTCATATCCCAAGACCTTGTGCTTGTTCTATTCATACTATACACCAGGCCTACGGCTGTTCTATCCTACTTTAGCGTATTGTACCTATGGCTGTCATATCGATCCCGGATACTTTTAATGAGCCTGTGGCTGGTCTATCATTACTGTAGCGTGAATCCACCGAACCTATGGCTGTCATATCGATCCACCGAGGCTATGGCGGCGGTTACGTAATCATCCGTGGATGACGGCACAGCACCCGCACAACTACAGCACGCGCATAGCTACAGTACCGACTCCATGACCTGGAAGTTTCCGTCTCACAACGGGACTAGTGGCCGCGTATTGGGTATTGAGGGTAGGATTGTGGACCTCATAGGAATTGCGTGTCGCGACAGCATACCTCGCGGCTCGACAGCCTTGCCTGCAGCAAGAAACATGCTGGCGAAGCTTTGCAGGCGTACTAGACATACAGCAAGCACCACTAACTAACGCCACTGCTTCCGCTACGTGCAGAGTACCATCTCCGGCGGCGCGGTCTGCGTTATGGGTCGTCTCGAGAATTTCCGCCAAGTGCAACTGGAACGGTGGGTCGCCCCGCGCAGCGACCTCGGCCACCCGTTCACCGCTGCTCGGGAGGCGTTTTCACAAGACCGTACTGTAACCCTAATTTCGCAAGCTCGTATCTGCTGTAGTGCAATGCACTGTGCCATGAGCGGCCCTCACCTCCCCAGCGGACGGGCACGAGCCACGATGCTCCGTGAGCTAGCAAATCATTCGCTGGATCCTTGCGACAGAATGCGACGCCAGGCGACTTCTCTCCGGCGACGGCGTCATGCGATTTTCGCTGTGGAGCTCCCGCTCTCGTCGCAAGTAGTAAGCTGCTGCAGTCGTGTAGCTCGAGTGAACCTACAACCTATTAGAAGAATGTACACGGGCCGTTGCGAGAATGAGCAATTTCCGCTATTTTCTGCTTCCAGACAGCGCCATCAGATTCTGGTGGGCTTTCATTCAGTAGTACCCTGGCTATTGAAACACGCGCCTGGCTATTGGCTGACGTTTCAGTGCAGAGCAATCACAGTCTCGCGGAGGTAGTAGTGACGGTCGCTCTCCTTTTGTGATAAGTTCTGGGAATTTTATTCAAAGAAACCTCGCAATAACCGTTCCAGCGGACCGTTCCAGCGGAGTTTGCAGCGCCGCTGCTGTTGAGTTGGTGTTGTGATCTCCGGTAGCAGTACCTCTTAGGCCAGGCGTGTTTGAGGCAAGCACGATGACTGTTTCTCGTGGAAGTCAACGCGAAGGTCAACGTGAAGGTCAACGCTCCTCGCGATTCCGAGCCCCGCCGATCGCCGCCGTAGGTAAGCCCCCCGATTTTGACGCAGTTCTTCCTGCCCCTGACGCTATTGTATGTTACTGATGCTCTCTGTTTTGAGTTGACTCAAAAGCACGATTTCAACGCAGTTCTTCATGCCCCTGACGCTGTGTATGTTACTGGTGCTCTCATCCTTCCCTCCCGCCGCTGCACCCTTCTTTGCCTCCCTCCTAACCCCATGCCGCTTTCCTGATTGGCTTGCTTCCCTCCTGCCCGTTCCCCTGACTCCCATACTTCTTTCCTCTGCCCGTTCCCCTGGCACCCATACTTTCTGCCCGTTCCCCCGACTGTCGCACTGTCTTCGTCTCTTCCTCCGTCTGCTCTCTGTCTCCTCTGCGATCACTCGTGCTTGCAGCAGTGCTTCTCGCGCTTCTGCTGCCGTCACTTGCGCTCGCCAGCAGCGCAGGGGAAGGTGAGTCTATACACCACTGTTAACCACACTCACTGCACAACAATTGCTCTCGCTGAGGTCTGCTGTGCCTGCTGTGCCTGCAGTTGCCTGCTGTACCTCTAGTGTCAGTGCGTGTTGTACCTGCTGCTTCCTTTGTGCCGGCTGTTTCTGCTGTTTGTGCTGTTTCTGCTGCTTGCGTTGCGTCTGTCTGCTTCAGCAGGACCGCACCCTCTAGGATGTCTCGCTGCTTCAACGCTTCGAGATTTCTCCTCAGTCCTCCCCATCTCCCACTTCCCCTTTTCAACCCCCTCTCTATTTCCCTCCTCCTTTCCCTCTCTCCCTCCCTCCATTTTTACCCTACTCCTACTCCCATCTCCTCATTCCTCTCTATGTCTTCATCCTTCCCTCTCTCCCCTTCCCCCATTCTCCATTCTTCCTCTCTCCCCTTCCCCCATTCTCCATTCTTCCTCCCCTCCCACCCGCATCGCGTCTCGCCTCCCTCGTGTCATTCCCGTCAGCTCACTTCGCCGCCCAGTTGCTGAGCGCCCATGGAATGAGAGGCACTATAAGCATATCCGTTTCAAGGTAACGCACTCTCTACTTGACTGGCATGTCGCATATTCGTTTGTATTTCACGGCCTCACCTTCTCCCACCCCCGTTTCCATCTTTTTTTTCAACCATTGTTCTTACCCCCGGCCCCCATTGCTGGTCTGTGAAAAGCTCACTACCTGCATTAACCGGGCCCCTATGACTCAAAAGAGTTCAGTCACTTGATCACCCAGCTGCTTTCTTTCCGCTCCCATCTCCACTCCTCTCCCCGCTACTCTCCTCTCCTCCTCCCCTCCCATTCTCTCCCCCTCTACTCTTCTCGCCCTCTTCTCCTCTCCCCTTCCTCCTCCCCTTCCTCCTCCCCTTCCTCCTCCCCTTCGCTCCGCATAATCCTTCTCTTTCTCTCGGAAACCGCAGGTCCATATCACGAGGCACGGTCCCAGCCTACAGCATCCGCTTCACTGCCGCCCTCACTTGCGCCCAATCCCCTCCCACCAACCTCTTCTGCTCCTTTCCCCCCTGCCCCCCTTTCCCCCCTGCCCCCTTCCCCCTGCCCCCGTTCCCCCCCCCTGCCCCCTCCCCTTCCCCCACACCTCTCTATCCCCGAAATCACAGGTCCATATCGCGAGGCACGGCCCCAGCCTTCACCATCCGCTTTGGCGCCGCGGTTGCTGGCGCCGACTCCCCCCCAAGCAACCTCCTCCTCTCGCTGCCACGTGGCGCTCCGCCATTGGTCCTGTGCGGAGGAGACTCGGCTGGTTCTGCTGGGTTTACTTGGTCTGCCGGTTCTGCTGAGTGCCAGTGGGTGGCAACGACACCGTCTGTGTGGGAGGCGGCGGGGGAGAGGAGGATGAGAGCGGTGGATGTGCGGCAGGGGAAGGGGCTGGAAGAAATGTTGAATGCAGCAGGGGAGGGGA